GTTGTCTTGTTGGTATTTATCTGTAGCTGAAGTAATTTTTTGTGTTCATCTTTATATGTTCTCTACACTGCAACTTGCAGTCTACAAGTAATGTTGATAATTTGTGTTTGAAAAATTCGAGGATGTTTCCATCCGAGGAAATTCTGTTCGAGCAAACTTTATTCGAGGAAATGATTTTCAAGACCATCGCTTTCGAGGAGATTTCATTCGAGCAAATTTCTCCCAGTCAGTCTCGCGTCTTACAGAGCCGATTTTAATTGTATGATGCAAGGTCCAACTATCAAGAGCAGATCCGCATGTTAACTCAAAATGGTAACTTTACTAGATAAGTAGTTGCCCAGCGCTTCAAGTGCTCGAAGAGGAAGATATGACTGGTACTTGCCAGATACCTAGAAACTACCTGAAACACTTGCAGACAATTTCCAAGTACTTGAATCATATAACTTGCGAGTGTACTTCCTTAAGTACTTGTCAAGCTAATCAAGTACTTGTATCCCTTAAATCACTTGATAAGTGCCCTTTTTACTTTCAAAAAACCCCAGGTACTCTGGACATTACTTACATAAATACTTGTCTAAGTACCTGATCTCAAGTAGGGATTTCTAACGCATGCAAAAGCATTCACCGCCAATTCGTCAGAATTGGGTAAAAACAAACAAGAAGACCGCTTTCTTAGATCACAAGCTTTGATTTAGCTTTGAGATGAATAAATTCCTTAACTTTGTTCACGTTCACAGCACTCCTAGCCATTCCTGTCACCCCGCGGAGCGCGCTTCTTCCCATTTGGCTTAGACTTTTCTTTATAAAATCGATTTCTGCTGCATTCTCATTTTATATTCTGTTCTCCTTTGTAGTCCCTACTTTGCTCTGTTTTATTTCACTACCTTAAGAAAGAATCAGCCCGATTGGCTATAATCGTTTTATAGCCAGCTTGGATATATATTTTATTACGTAAGAAATGTTTCGTTAAGATACGTGATCGTGAAAGACTACTGTAAAATTTCACGTCTTATGTCAACCACCACACGGAGAAAAGGAAACCGTGAAACTCATGACGGTTTTTACACGCGGTATCTCGCAGTCAGTTTGACACAGTTTTTTTTCATGATTTTAGTTGTTCATGCTTTTGTCTTCTACGGTTCCTATACGACAGTTTTTCTTTGACGGTTTTTAAAACTGTTAGAAAAACCGTCTAGGTAAAACTGTGCAAGGAAAACCGTCTACTTTGAAAGAGAAGAAACAAACGAACAGCTCCATGAATCGAACCTGGGATGCTTGGTGAGTATGAATTATGAGACCAAGACACAAACCGCTGAACTGAGGAACTTACAGAAGTATGTTTTCGCACTGCATACTCATCATGTTCTCAGATAGACTTTTGTAAAAACTTTAATACCTTACGAAAAGCTGTTGTTGTTGAATTTGTAAAGCTCCTCGCTAAAGTATATGTATTTGAAACACAAAAGAGAAACGCGAACTGTATAAGTGTGTCCATATATCATATGATACCTTTAGGTGTATTCTATGACGAATGTCTACAAGCATATGGTTAGGAGAAGATATTCACGGTGAATATCTTCTCCTAGTCTTAGAAGGTAGAGGAGGAGAATATAGTGACTATACTCTTCTCCTCTACCTTCTAAGACTATAGGTATCAGAACGATTACAAGATAATCTCAGCTTCAAAAAAAAGAATTTATAAAACGAGAAAGTTCACAAAACAGGCATATTTTGCAGAAACATGCGTTGGAAGACGGCCCAAGTGCCAGTTTTACTCTCTGATCTACCTAGCTATGCTCTGTATTGAACAATCCTGAGTGTGAGATAGATTTGTTGAAAAGCCCAAACTCACTCTGTTAAACTAACGTTAGTTGACTAGGAAGACTTTTTGACGTGCCAGCGACTGAAACTGCATATGTTTTGATGAATTTTGAAGCTTCGATAAAACTGTTAACTAAAAAGCATGAAAATGCTTTCACGGTTTTCCTCTTCACGCTTTTATTTTCATTGTTTTTCTTTGACAAACTGTCAGTTCATGATTTTATTTCTACAGTTTTGACCTTTACGCTATTATTTCATGGTTTTAATTATACAATTCTTAAACTGACGATTTTTTTCTTCGATGGTTCGAGAGTGGACAGCTTTGTTCCTATGACTTTAACCTTTACGGTTTTACTTGCATAGTTTTTCTTTTATACTTTTGCATTTTACGGTTTTAATAATGTAGTTTTATACTTCATGGTTCTTCTACATGGTTTTCTTTCGATGGTTATTGATTTTACGGTTTTCGTTACGGTTCGTTTTTATTCGCCGTGCAGAGTCGTGCCATAAGGAAGAAAATTATAGTTAAGGTTAGTACGCATCTGGTGCGTAACATAACATCAAGGACAACAAACTTCGACAAAGAAATGACGGATTAAACCAATCAGATAACGAGAAATATTGAAGTTTTAATGACTATTTCTTCATGGTCATGTATCTTAACCGAAATGTCTGTCGTTTGTTAAAAATTGTTGTGAAAACTTTTGTTTTCTTTCGTTTCTTACGAACTCTTTTTGTGTTCTTTCGTATATATTCGTCCTCCATAACTTATATATATATAATATGAGACCACGAAAGAACGAAAGCGAAATTATTTCGACTATTACTTCTTTCGGCCCATCACTACCTTGCAAAATATAAAGTGAATATTGTTTTAATCACATATGTTCCACCTCAGGTAACAGGTAGCGAAAGACAGTATGTTAAATTAAAAGGCTATTATAAAGAAAACACTCTCACTACCTTTGTTACATGTGTCTTTCTTACTTACTATTTATACTAGCAATTTTCGCTCGTTGAACAGTCGAAATAATGTGATGGGTTTATTACTCTTTCTTTTTGCTGTTCTATACTTATTCGATGGAAATTCTTTTCTTTTTCTTCGTTTCTTTTTTACAAATAAAGCTTATACTACAGAAAACAAATTTTTTCTATTCACATCATTTTCCCCTCGTTTGTTATATTTCTTCTAAAAATATTATTGATTTTTTCGGTCGCTCCATTAAACTATAGAAATTGCTATGTGCTGAAAGACAAAACTCTATTAGAAAAAATGATTTTCTTTTTCTTTGTGTCAATCGAGAGTGTGCATCAATACATTTGCCACATTTCTGAAAGGTACTTTGACCTGGAAGCAGCAACCTTTTTTTCATATAAATTATAAATGAAAATAATAAAATTTCAAAATATTTTCTATTTCAGCTGACATATTAACAGCTTGTAACAGAAAGTAAGAACCTATTTTGGAAACTGGACAATCGATTTCTATGTCTGTTCTATGGCTAGTGTTCTAATAAAGTCAGTATGTGCTATAAATACTTTCAGAGAAAGAAAAAATATAGTTAAAGAAACATTACTTCATACGCCATACGTAATAAGATAATGAAAGAAAAACAATACATACAGCTACAGACATAAGAGAAAGAAAAAATGTAGGATGAAAACAGAGGATATGGAATGATTTATTCTCATCGTTAATACTATATCTATAGAAATACAAGTTTTTTATCATTTACATGAGAAATCAGTTCGATCTAAGTGGTGGATGATTGCGTGTTCCCTTGAGATCTTTCGTGAAGTTTTGTGCATGAAAAAATTAAATTATTGAAAATAATAAAGTTAATTAATAAATATTAATTTTAATAAAATTATTAAAATACAAATAAAGCTGGTGAGCGGTAGTAGTAGAAGATTTGAGGCATATTTGTAGTTTTTCGCTCTCTGGAATTTTTCTGGAGAAATAGAAGCTAGGAATAGTACATCCGCTCTTCAAAGATGGTGATACTTCTCTTCTGATGAAGTACAGGCCAATCACGCTGCTACCTGCTATATCTAAACCCTAAAACGCTTAGTTTATAATCGACTTTACGGACATTTGAAAAAACATCTTCTACTCTCACCATTTCAAGCAGATTTTATTCAACGAGATTCGGTGATCAATCAGTTAGTAGATCTAGTGCATGAAATAGGGAAGACTTTAGACTCTGACAAATTTACAGTGGCAGTCTTCCTAGATTTCGCAAAAGCTTTCGATAAAGTTTGACACGTCGGGCTTTTGCATAAATTAGAACAAAAGGGCGTTAGTCCTGTTGTATTAAAATGGTTTGAAAGTTATTTGACCGACAGAAAATGCGTGACCATTGCATATGGGCAATCCTCTGCATCGCTTTCTGTTAACCGCGGAGTTCCGCAAGAGGGTGCCTCTTACTATTACTACTACTATCGCTTGAAAAAAGTTTTGCTGGCAATAAACGTTAATTTTTTCCCTTGGTATAAGTGGCCCAGATTCAAAGATATCGAAAGGAAATACAATTTGACTTTTAGTCAAATGTGAGTTGGTTTCTTTGGCTCGGCTTTTTCATCTTTCTAAGAAAAAGTTAGTCAGTAGATCACTTTGTATTTGTAGTGAGAGTGAGACAATAAAGTATTTCTTTTTTGGATTGTCTAAATTTCAAGCATTTTCGAAGCGCCTTTCAAAACGACTGGATTGCTCTGACAAACGTTAACTCTTTTACTCTAGAACACATTCTCTTTCTATAACCTTTAACATCTTTAAACGTTAGTGAAATTTGTAAACTGTACAATAGTGTAATAACTTATATCGTTTTTCTTCTCATTTCTTTTTTTCTCGCTTTTTTTTCTTACTTGTTTTTTTGCGGTGTTTCAGTATCTCACCTTTCTTATGTGGATAGTCAAAGAACAATCTAATGTGGTCCCTAGACCGCGATTTTAATCTCTGTACTGTTCTTCTCTTTCTTACTAAATAAAGTTTATATCAACTTATATCAAAGTCACACAACTTCTATTTTTCTCCTCGTATGCCTATTTTTTTATTCTTTATTTTTTGTCTTTGCTTGTCTTTTATGTTTTCCTTGCCTCTTTATTTAAGAGAGAAAACGAGAAAACGAGAACCTGTGTAACTGGGTCAAATTCGAAGTTTAGTTCGAAAGTGTCAAAATCGCACTTTTCAGGTGGTACTCAGTATTTTGAAGATTTCTTCCCTAAAACTTGATCGAAAGTGAATAAAAAGGTAATATTCGGAATCTACGTTTCACGAGCTATCCAACCATGTATATTTAAAGAAAACCTATTTTTGTGTGTACCTGTCGAATTTCCGGCACGTTATATGTATTTTTTTGTCCTGTCCTGACCTTTGTCCGCAGTCAGTGATGTAAAGAGACAATGGGTTCCCCTCCTTCTTCTCATTATTGTACCAAACTTTTCTAACATTGTCTTTTCAATAAAGCTTATAACAACGGTACTACTTCTTTAGTCTAAGATTTTAAGAAAAAATTTTCTTGGTTTCTTTTTTAGTCTGCAATTTTAAAAATTTTCCAGACTTTCAGCTGCAAATATCATGATTCTTATTCTTTTAGATGGGAAAAGATACTACCAAAGAAGGTGGAGGCGCTGATGATACCCACAGTGGTAATGTAGGCGTATACCAGATCACTGTCGATCAACTACAAGAATTGATGGAACTACATGGCAAGGAGTTGATTGAAAAATTGAATGCCTCTTATGGTGGCATGAAAGGTTTGCTAGAAAAATTAAAAGTGGATGGTCAAAAAGGATTACAGTCAGATAACAAACAGGATTTAGAAAAACGTCGACAAATTTTTGGAAAAAATGAAATACCACCAAAACCAATGAGAAGTTTTCTATATTTGTGTTGCCAAGCGCTTCTTGATAAGAAGTTAATCATTTTACTCATTTGTGCCGTTGTATCGATCGGTTTTTCTTGGCTTGTATCTGTAGCCATTCTGGCTGTTGTTCTAGTAGTTATTTTCGTCACGGGCTTAGTTGACTGGCGAAGAGAACGTCATTTTCGTGTAATGCAGTCAAAATTTGACAAAGATCTAGTAACATCAGTTGTGAGAGATAACAAAATACAACAAATACCCATTCAAGAACTTGTGGTGGGAGATCTCTGTTTCATCAAGTATGGTGAGTGTGTCTATTATGTCTTTTCGGCTTTGCTGTTATCCTTCTAGGTTTTTGTTTGTCTAGGTGATCTTTTACCAGCTGATGGCCTCATCGTACAAGCAAGCGACTTGCAAACCGATGAATCATCGCTAACAGGTACTTTGTTTTCCTCGCATTTCTAGTTGGAAGAGTTCTATAAGAGGATCGTACAGGATCCGATAAGGCTCTAAAGAACAAATGATACAATCTTATCTGACAGTAAGGGGACACCTCCTATATCCCGATCAGGATATAGAAAAAAAGTAGTCGGGATATAAAACACGAAATTTCGTCGTAAAAACGATTAAGGGAAAAATGACGACATTTTGGGGTAAAATTGACGTCAACATCAGAAAGAGCTCGAAAAACCACATCGGATTCTGTTGTGTTTGATCAAAAGTGTATCAAGCGCCCAGCAACTATTTTTTCGAATACATTTTTAACAGATTTTAGTCGAATTTATATCCCGATCGGGAAATAGGCTGTTAATCTTTTATTGCTCATAATGGGATATACTCTTGATCTAATCGCTTTCCACGTCGACCGTGTTTTTTTATTTCTTCCTTTTCAATGCCCACATATATTGAAACACAATTCTTTTCTCATGCGTCTACAATATATAAATATACGTGCTTTGTGTTTAACGGGGAATTTTCTAACTATCCGTTCTTGCAGATAAATTGCCTTATGTTCTTTATAAGAATATTCAGCTCTCATATAATTAAAATTTATCATTTTCTTACAAATTAAAAATTAAAATTCTTGATATCCTGATTGGGATATAGATTTTCTTGATATCCCAATCGGGATATCGAATTATATCCTGATCGGGATATAATTTCAAACTATATCCCGTTCGGGATATAAAAAAGATTTTGCTGCAAAAAAGGATATCCCAGTCATGATATCCCAGCCAGGAGTACATCCCGATCGTGATATGTCTCCACACTGTCTGATCATGTACGAGTCACTGGGATCAAATAGGACCGTAAAGGAGCAACATCGTCATCTGCAAGCAACAACTGACATAGTATTCGTACAGTAAAATTAGATCATACAGTAGAAAATGATAGGATCCTAAATTATCTAAGTGTGTGATTTGATAGTTCTTTTATTATAGAATTTTATTAGATTTCTTGTTACTGACTAGTGCTCTATAGTAGGCTGATTTTTTCTCAGTAAAATCTACTGTTTCAAAACATATTTTCGATTATTTTTTGCTTTCGTCTATCATAGTGATGTCCCCTACTTGAAGACTCACCGCTCATCATAACTGTCTAACACTGCTCATTTAGACGAGCAGTACAGAAATTAAAGAGCACGATATCTTGAAAGTATGAGTGATATCTGCTTTTTTGAAGTGATCAATAACAAAACACAAATACTTTTGTGAAAGGGAGTTATAAAGGGAGTTATTTCTTGCGTAGCCCATAGAACTACAACATATTAAATATCGAGAGGGTTCAAATTTATTCAGTATTATTTCTGAAGATTATTTTTAGGCGAAACAGATTTAATCAAGAAGAACGATAAAGAAAACATCGAGCTATTCTCAGGTACAAACACACTGATTCAGAACTATATATCAGTTGATTGCCACGTCTTTGTCTTGTTCAGGTACTAGTGTGATGGAAGGATCTGGACGAATGGTTGTTGTTGGCGTGGGACTGAATTCACAAGCAGGACGTATCGTGACACTATTAAGAGGGGATTCCACCGCTAACGGTACGAAGAACCGAGACAATTAAAAGAGCAATTTGATACCCTAGATTATTCACGGATTTCACAACTTCATTTCTTTCTTGCCAGCTACAACCAAAACACAAAACGTTTCTAAAACAAAATTTCTCGCTCCTTTCTTTCGTTTTATCCAGCTCCTTTTTCTTTTTCTTGTTCTTTTACATCGTTGTTATTTTTGTATTTCTCCTTTTTCTGTGTGGGTGTGTGCTCTTTTATCTATGTTATTCTCTGACTACGTGCGTTACGTGTGTCTTTCTTACTTACTATTTATACTAGCAATTTTCGCTAGTTGAACAGCGAAGAAATCAAGAATGGCCAAAGTAGGTCTCACAGCTATGCTTACTGCGAAGAAGTAAAAAGTGCTAGAGACTTCGTTGTTGCGTCACACGATCAAACTTGGAAGTCGCTTTCATTTGAATATAAATAAAGTTATGTTTTGTTAGATTCTAAGCTCGTCCAACACGCTATAAGATGAGTGATATCTGATAATGCAGATAAGGTCCTTGAGTCAAAAATTCTTTCCGAATGTCAGAGGGGAAAATCTCATTTGTGGATAGAAATATGCAACTTTGTATGCTCTTTCCAGCTAGTAGTATGAGAACGCTTGATGGTATTAGATAAGGTCAGATTTCACGATTCTGGCACTCCTAACAGCGCTTCAATTCAGAACTTACGGCTGAGGAAAAACCGTGTTCGGAATAATTTTTCCTTGGGGTAACATGGGTCTTTGCATACCTTTAGTAGGACTATCGATAGCATGTAGTCAAATCCTCCAGGCTTTCAGCTCATGTAATACTGTGCGGACCTGTGCGGAAGTACCCATAGGTCCCTAAAAGTCCACTAATTTACAGGGACTTTCATGGATCTACATAGACTTACCCAAACTATTAGTGACTTACGTGTGCTTTTGACGTCACTAAAGTCTTTAATAGACTTGTGACGTTCAATGGACTGAAAATTCATTTAGAAGTCTATTGGACCCGAAGCCTACTTCTTCCCCTCCCTTGACGCCACCCCAAGTGTTCAACCATTTTCCTCTCGAAACATATTTAATTAAGTGCACCTGTTGATGTTGATCACGAATGTGATATCCGGTTTTGCTCTTAGGCTTTACTCTATAAATTTCTCGAAAATCCGGTTTATACAAATTCATTTACCGAAGAAATTTTGAGGCAGCAAGTTTACAGAGTATATTTAGTGGCCGATAAACAATTTTAATAAACGGTTTTTCTTTTACTTGGATATGAGACTTTTGAAAACTAAGTCATTCGACATTTTCAATGAACTAAATAGTAAAAATTTCATATCTCAGTGAAATTCTTCCTTTAGTCCTTAAGCATACAGAAGAAAGAGTGAAATCAATTTGGTAGTACTTTAGTTAACATTCTAAGTATAGGAAGCACTTTATTCATAAGAATGTGATTGCACTGAGCATTAAATACTTAATAAGGATCGGACAAGGTTGACGCTGGCTCGCATTCTTCTTTCGCCAGGCCGCATCGAAGCAAAAATTTCGCTCTATGTGTATCTATGATAAATACTCGGAATAAGAATGAGTCAGTCAGTAGGGCTTGCTGTACGATTATGGATACAGCCAGTGACGTATCCAGATAGTGGGCAATTGGGCGATTGCCCACCAGTCACAAATTTATTGCCCACCAGTTTTTTGAGATAATGGCAATTGCCCACTGCAAAAATATTTTGATACTCGTGTACGTTTGATGACTCAAATGATGTGATTTAAATGAACTTCTTAAGATGAGTCTAATCAGTTGTTGCAGAAAAATCAATCGGCAGTCTTTTCTATTTAACCAATGATCTCAAGGATGACGATTCAATGATACCCTTTCGTTAAAATACTCGGTACTACATATAAATTCGCTGATGAATGCTTAGCTGTTCTGTTAGCTGAGGTTGACGAATTTCTCGTCCATAACCATCGGCTTTTATAGTGTCAATAAGTTTTTAAAAATTATTGCCCAATAGATTTTCAATTGCCCATTGCTGCCCACCTCTCAAAATAATTTGGCTGGAGAATTGTCCACTAGTTAAAAATTTCTGAATACGCCACTGGATACAGCAATGGGGATGGTATATGTTGTTCGGTATTGGATCATTGATATGGCAACAGGTATATTTTACATTTATCCCACTATCTGACGATCATGTTATCATCTTTAAGCGTTAAATACAATTCCAATTTCGATACTAGAACGAATTTTAGTTCTATCGGCAGAACAGTCTGTTTTCGCTGTTATCGAAAAATATTGAAGAAACAACAAGAAAATAAAGCGGGAGAAGTGGTAGAAAAAGAGGAGTCAAAGGATAAACATGATATTGATACTGGAACTAAAGACGATAAGTCATACTCATCACTACTGTCACAAAGAAGACCGAGTCCCTCAGTGAATGGTGCAGTCGGTCGTTTAACTAGTACTGCCGGTATGATGGGAACATCGAATGCATTTTCCAATCTATTATTCAGGAGAAGTGTACAAAAACTACAAACAGAAGTACGTAAACAACATGGAGCAGTCTCATCTTGCTGACAACTTTACGCTGAACTTATTCTTGCCGAATTTTTGTCTGGTATTTATTGTTTTGACTAGAACTACATCACCGAAGTTGTATGCTGGTAAATCGTAACGACTTTTTGATTGTCGTTGATTTTTTATGATGTTCTTCTTAGCTGTTCGATAACCGAATTGTAGTTTTGGTGATCTGCCAAATACCATTTCAAATGGGATTTGTTTGGTCGTTGAATGGACGGTGGCATTGTAATTAAATGTAACAGATAGCACTTTTTCGTCCCAATCCGTTTTTCGTTGATTGAATAATGCAGCTATTTTTGCATACAGTGTTGAGTTGTATCGTTCCACCTGACCGTTAGTTTGTGGATGGTATAGAGTGGAGTATAAATGAGTGATACCCACTTGTTGTAATAAATTGTTCATCATTGCGGAACTAAAATGGCTTCCATTGTCCCTTTAATATACAACGCGGTGTGCCATATTTGCAAATAACATCTTCCTTGATGAATGGCGCCGCCATTTGTGCGATGCAGTCGCGTGTAGCTTGCGTAACCACCAACTTGGATAAAACATGGTTAATGAAATAATGTATTTATTTCATGATATATCTCTATATATATCTATATAATGTCGCATAGAAGAAAGAATCGTTGACACCCCACAGTCCATGTGGACCGACACAATCAACTGGTTGACGATAAGCAAATGTATAACTGATTGAGAGACTACTAGATCGATTGAAAAATACAAGAGCGTTGTTCACGTCGGAAGTGACGACCGTAGTTTGACCGTTATCGAGGAACATAATACCACGTGGTCCATTGACAAATGACAATGAAATATTATTGAGCACTGTCAAATTTGTACTGTCAATCACCACCATAATGTTATTGTTGTTCGGTACAAGATAGTAGGCAGTGTTGCTAAAAGCGATGGCCATGGTAAAAATTGAAGTATGACCAATTCTTGTTAAATTTGTCGGATCAAAACGATTGAGATAATTTGCTGACAGTTCAACTGGTGCTAAATAACCATAATTATCAACGACGACATCACGAGGTGATGACGCGTTCTCAGATAGATTAGAATTTATAACAATTTTGACAAAAAAAGCAGGCGATGATGGAATCTATTCTAGCCTGTGATTTCTTTGGCTTTAAATCAAAAAATGCTTGCATTAAACGATGATCAGTTGCATCCAAAATCAACATTTGTCTTTTGTATTCAAATTCATCTCGTAAACTCTGTTGTTTTACATAGACGAATGTATAAATTATCGAAGATAACACTTTTATTTCAGATGAACAACCGACATGTTATGCAGATTTGAACGCTATTTGTTTTTCAAACAATTCAATTGCATACTGTGCTTGTTGTAACTGTTTTAGAATTTTGTTGCGATGTTGTTCGATAAATGTTTTCGATCTGCCATATGTGTAACATATAGAATTTTTCTCACCCGAATGTTCGGACATACCACCTGTCCAAATAGTCTGTGTCATACAGATGTGATAATAATAATTCCATTGTTGTTGTAATTTCATATAAGATAATCGGTCGATTAAACTAATATAACGACGAACAAATTCAATTTTCTCTTTTCATTTAAAAAATAACCAAGTTTATCTATACCATCAAAAGCTGCTGACAACATTTGATGGAGGTTTTGATCTGGTACATTCGTGTAATTCGATTGAATTGTCATTAGCTGTCGATGTATTCTTCGATGATTGAGTTGGTGTCAATTAATTAACTAACTTCATATATGCGTGTAGAAACATTTAAATTTCTTTTCATTTTTATACTTTTACTTTGTTGTTTATTGGTTTTATGTTGTTTTTTTTTGGTGTTGTTAATGAGAGATTGTCTCATTAACGACTGAAACTGTTGGTGCAATATTTTGCTTCATGACAGTATTGAACCATGTGTCTGTTATATGAGGAATGGCATCCGGATCCATATCTTGCTTTCGACGTTTCCGGCGAAAGCGTTGTTGTTTTCGATTCCCTTGGCTTTTCTTTTTCTGTTTATGTTGTTCTTGCTGCTCACCATGTTGTAGATCTTGTACATCGTGACCTTGATTGAAAAAACTCGGATACTAATCATGATAATACTGGATATTCGGACCCCATGAAGGATTAATCAGTCCTATAACATAGATCATAGTGATGAAAATGGTTTTAAAGTATCAGCCCGTATTGCGGAAAGAAGATCAAAACCATGCTAAAAGAACTTTCAAGATTAGAAGTGTATGGGAAATTATCAATATTAGGAAAAAAGGCGAGAAAACGCATATTTCCTGTGGAAGCAAAAGTGAGTAAGCAGTTCAGTATAAATGAACCGTGTCCTTGATTCCTAAGAAAAAGGAAAATAGCACTGATATAAAGCACTAATGAAATACAATCTTCTTACTTCTCCTTTGGTCTTTATCGAATCGACGTTAATTAGCATGGACCTTGGTGGTTTTTTCTTAATTAATAATTGACTGAGTGATTAATTAATAATTAATTTGTTGGTTCGAGCTCCAGTTTTCAAGGTAACGCCATTCATTGACGAACCAGGATAGATAAAATATTTCTTCGATAGGAGACGAAACTCGTGCTTGAAATTTAACATCGGACCAGTTTCAAATGTGAAATAAAGACGAATCTCTTTTTTATTCCAACCTTGTTGCTGTTCTGTTTGGTTCGATAGAAACTGATTTAATTCAAAATTCATGGATTTTTGTTCTCTTTCTCGTCTTGTTGGTTGATGCAGTAGTCTTTGATGTAGTTCTCTATAGACATCATTATCTAATTGTTCCATTAGTGACATTCCATTATTTTGCCCAAAGAATCGTTTAAAATGACATGAAACGAATATCAGTGAATAACCGTTCAATAATAACGTGAGTTCAATGTTCAGTCGTTCTGCCAAAGTCTTGTACATCTGAACCAGACGTACGGCTCGAAACAAAGCTCCTTTGATAGTATTGCGATGAACATAGCGTGGATGATCCGATAAAAATGCTACAATGTATGGTTCAGCTGCTGGTTTGTGAAACACTGTAGTTGTTAATTGTCCTTGATTGTTATGAACAGAAACATCAAGAAATTCAACAGTGGATTAAATCGATCGACTGATGCAAATGTTTTCATCTCTTGAGTTTGCTCTTTCGAGTAATTCAATGATTTGATCGAGAGATCAATTGGTTGTCATAAAAACATCATCGATATATCTATAGTAATAATTATTTGATGGATTGACAAAGAAGAGTAGAAAAGGAGTAGATCGACGCAGTTTTTCGTGCTCTACAAAATGATATAAATATATCATTCTCAAATTGTTGTCATTAAGGGCTACCAGACTCACAAATATAAGAAAATATGGAAAACATACTATTATATGATTATTTTTCATAAATTTCAAGTTGATTTTGGCACTAACAACAACTTGGACAAGATGACGACTATAATAGAAAATTTTCTCGTCATTTGCTCTACAAAATGGTCTAAGTTTGAGAAAAATAAAAATAGCCCCAATATAGAATATTCGATGATTACTTTTGAACATGTCATTATTTTACTTGTATATCGATACTTTTTTTGGAACTCTTTGTCACTTTTTTCTATGAAACTATAGAGGATCTCTAATCATTCATATATTATTCGATGCGTCTTGAAAAGCTCTACAATGTCTGTTAATAGGAAACTTAAGGTAGCTTGGCAGCGGGTTTTGTGTGTTAAATACTTCGCCACGTAAACATACAGTGGGTCCAGAAATTATTCGTGCATCTTTATTTTTCATTTTGCTCGTCGACCATAATAGCTAGATCAAATTTGAAAATAGATTTGAATAGCCGAAACAATTTTCGATCTGATGTGGTGTACACAAAGGTTCTATCGAAACTTCTGAAACGAGGGTCTCTGGAAAATCCAAATCTCAGCAAACCAAGCCCCTGAGTTCAATCGAGAAATTCGTTGCAAATAACTCCGTCATATAGAGCAAGCATTTCTGAACAAAATGAGACGTCTTTGACCTCTCTAAGGTATTGTTTCATGAAACAGCATTCCATTTTCCAAAGTTCCCATACCATTCAGATACATCCTTAGGGCCTTCCAAAAATGGAATGCTGTTTCATGAAACAATGCCTTAGAGAGGTCAAAGACGTCTCATTTTGTTCAGAAATGCTTGCTCTATATGACGGAGTTATT